GGTCCTGGTGAAGTGCATAAGAGCCAGTCACATGATAGAATATCTGCAAGAAAAAAGAAAATTTATGATGGAATTATATACGACTATAAATCTGAAAGTGTCAAGGAAGTAAGAAATTAAAGGCATGCCAGATGAAGATGATGGGTATCTGTGTGTGTGCACATAAAATACGATGTAATATACCTTTATATACCTGTTTATAGGATCTGAACTAAGGGCTCTTGCTGCTCTGTTTGGAAAAAAAAGAAAAAAGTAAAGACTCTTGCTGCATTTAAGTAAGCCCTCAAAAAGAGCCAGGCAGAAGACAATGCTTTAAGCTCACTATAATCTGACTTTGACAATTTCAGTATTATTTTGTGATATTCAAAGTATCCAAAATTGCTTATGCTTTTACATGGCTCATTTCAAACTATTCTTTTAACTGTACTGTCTTGGGGGTGGGTATTGTTTTCCCCGTTTGCTATGGTTGCTTGTTTTTTCTAAACACCTGTTTATTTTATTGAATATAATGATTAGGACATTTTATCTTATGTGTTTTTAGTTAGCAGAGTATAGCAGAGCTTTGGTCAGGACTGGGGCATTTGTGTAATCCCTGGGAGATAAAAGGATGCCCTCCTTAAGAAATCAGAACAAATCGTGTGACACAATCACTGGCTGTGTTATAAGACTCAGCAGTGATGGCTGTAGAAACAAGAAAGCTCATGCTGCTCTGTCATAACCAGGGACATGATTTTAGGTCAAGACAAAGGCAGTGGCTATCTGGCAATGAAGCAAGCCAATATTGTTCTCATTGCAGGACTGAGCCAGATGTTTTCAACAGTCAGGAATACTCACCTGACATCTTTCAGCTGTTCTACATTTCTTAAGACATGTCAGTATTTCAGTTGCTAGGAAAGGTGGGGAAAAGGAACAGACTGAAAATTTCCTACACCTCATGTTCTTCCACCAGTAGCAACAGCACAAAGACTCTCCAACTTTTTTCTTGGTTAAAGCTAGTATCACCTCATCTTCTGGGTTTAATGAGCAATGGGAGTGAAGTTCAGCAGCCCTAATGGTTCAATAGTTCCTGTGACGCTACACTGTTCCCAGCTATGCTGTATCCTTTGGGGTTGATCCCCTGCTCCAGTGAGGTCGTGGGTAGATTGGTCAGAACCCCTCTTCCCCCCAGGAACTACACATTGCCACTGAACCTCGTAAGCTATTTGTCTGCCAGGAAACACAGTGACCAGCCTGCACAAAAATAAAAGCAATTAGAAAAACGAGGCTTTGTAGGAGGCAATTGATTTTCTTCCTCAGGAAATAATCAATATGTAAAAACTTCTCTATCAGCAGTACCGCATGTAGGATGAGATGTGCCTTTCTCCACAGCATGGAAATATATTGTGAACAGTTGTGGCACAATGACATAAAGGGTCTGTGAGGGTCAGCTGAACAGGCAACAGCTTGGAGTGCAGGGAAGAGGACTACCACGCATTTGCAAAAGACTTCGTATATGTACAAACTGAGCCTCTTTGCTTACTGCATTGCAAAGCTGGCCCAGGCAATTGCCAGCTACTAGAATACCAGCATCCCAGATGCCTGTAATGACAGGCCAAATTTAAAGAAATCCTGGGCTGGAAGTGAACCTGTCGTTAATAATGAATTAGATGTATGTTCTATTATCTTTTAAAGAGTACCAAAAAGCATATTCTGCAAAAAAAATAAGCCAGCACATTTAGAATGAGAACTTTTTCTCTCCACCAAGCTGAAAACTGTTAACAACTAACCTGTTTCTCAATGTCTTCCAGCAAACTACTGGCACCCAGGCGGAAGAGCTCTGGTGTTAGCCATTCCACTCCCAATTCCTCCTTCACCAGCATAAGCCAAGTAATAGCATCTTTTGCCGTCCGAATGCCCCCCGCAGGTTTAAATCCAACCTTAATATAGAAAAAAGAAGTGCAATACACATTTTCATTTATCAGCAACTCTAGAAGAGTAATCAGCGTTTGTACACCTGCAGTCTCAAAGTGCCTGTGGTTTATTTAACAACTCTGCTCTGGGTAAGTACCTGACTGCAAGCAGTATAAACTCTAGGCTAGTGCTGAGAGCTGTCAAGCCTCAGCTATCACTGTGAAAGATAACATTTTCATCCTGAGGGACAGCAACTGAGGGAGTAATACTTTTGACGCCAGCACACTTTTTCAGGAGCTGGGTTTGAGGTCCAATGGGAGTACTTTGCCCATAGCAAATATTAGGCCAAAGGATTTAGGCAGGACCTGGGATATCTGCATATCACCTACCACGTCACAATCTAATTCCAAATATATAACAACACATATACATGCAATAACGTAACGTCAAAGCATGTGATGCAGCTGACTCATGTGGAGAGCTGTGAGAGATGGTTGTACTTTATAAAAAGCCTGTGTACCACAGTTATACATGATCAGGCTGTACATTCAAACCTATCAGAGGTTTAACTTTCACTAAAATTTTCCAAATAGGAATTTAATTAGGTCTGCCTTTACCAAAAATTTAAGGTTTTGTGCTTCAAGGAAGTGCAAAACCTCTCTCCCAACACATACTGGATATGCTTTCAGTCACTGGATGCAAGATACGTGTCATATTTGGTCAGGTGAACTGCCATGTACGTACAGGCACACACACCAAGAAAATACTACCTTTGAGGTAAAGCATGTCTTGAATCCCACGATCAACCTGCTGTGCAGAGCCAGCACTGAGGTGACTTTGCATGCACACCTAATGTCAGTCTTTCAGTCACATGCCATTTAAATGCATCTCATTCCGAGACAGAGCTTGTGACACACAGCTATCAAATCCCTCATCAAAAATTTTGTCACCTGTATTAGCCAAAATGTTGGCCAGCAGGAGCTTACGAAACTCTTGAAAAACAAGGAGAATTAGGATGTGTTTCTGCATCGAAACAAAAATCAAATCTGAACAATCTGTACAGCAGCACACAGTGTTTCTTTCTACATTTCCCTCTGCCATAAACCTTTACTTTGGGTACTCCTTCCTATCAGCCTCCTTCTGCAAGAACTATTGTTCTGATTTCTGTATATACATTCCTGAAACCTCACTGCATCGAGGATCTCTTTGTACCTTATGGACATAATAGTGGAATCAAAAAATATCTGGTTTTAAATTTGTTTGGTAATCTTTTTTCATAATGACTTCAAGACAAACAAACACAGAATAAATCCTTCTCTCACACTGAAGCATTAGGAGAGCAGCATATTTCCAATAAGATTGTAAAGAACAACAAGAGGAAAAGCTTGATAAATCTAAACCACGAAGACTGTGTTTTTGTGGATGGATAGATGGATGGATGGATGGATGGGCGAGTTAATGCATACATCTGTTAACATTAGATTTCCAAAAGGAATTTAAACCACAGCAACTGGAAAAGCATCATCTATACAATAAATTAAAATAGTGGGAATGTGTTTTCCCTCAGGAAAAGAAATTCTAATCAAATGCAGATTTAGATTTCTTCCTAGAAATATTAGAGCTCTCTGAGAGAATCTGTGGCAAAACCAAGTAAAACACAGTGAATAAGAGAATTTAAAAAACCATGCAGAATTCTTTGGCCTTTTAGCAAATTCTGAAAGCTCTTTTCTCTGCAAAAAAGCTGACAAAGACAAGCCTGTCCTCTCCTCCATTTGCCAGCTTTCCAAACTGCACACCTGACTGCCATAAAAACGCAAAAAGGAAGGGGAGGGGGATGGAATTTCATTCAAGAGCAGTACAAAGTCCAGCTACCACTTTCCTGCTGTTTCACAGCATTTCATTATTTTGCTTAATAAGTTCATCTCCTCAAGAATTTTCTCTTCACCTTATATTATTAAAAGTAATAAGTTTTTCTGGATTGGGGGTTTTCCCAACAGAAAAACCAATTTATGTATGTCCTTCAATAATGACAGGAAAAGATTATTTCCCATTATATTGCACACTTTTCATATCACCACCACAGCTTATCATTCAATAAATGTTACTCTGCAACTTGTTCCTTTCCTCGAAGAAGTTTAATTTCTGCATTAACCTGTTTTTCCCAGCCAACGCCTTGCTAGAAAGCATCCCTACAGCAGCAAAATTAGTTTGTTAAATAAACCATTTAGAAATATCTTGTCACTGATAATATTGTCTTCAGTTAATAAAAGCACATAAAGTCAGTTTACATCTAATTCACTGACACACACATGCACACAGACATAAGCACTCATTCTTAATACACATATTACACCATGAATGCATCCCTTTTAAAGCAAAAGGTGAATTCAACATTTATATCCAATTATAGGTACAAAGCTGCGTTAATGCAGCAGAGCTCAACCTCTGGCACACATCTCATGTAAGCAGAAGCGGTGCTGAGGTGAGTCACCCTGCCCCAAGGATCCTGTCTCAGGTTGGCAGCAATGATGCTCCCGCAGAAGCTGGACTATTGGAGCTGCTTGAGTTGCTGTGTGGCAGAGATGCAGGCTGGGGAAGGGGAGCGAGGACAGGCTAGGGATTCACACTGACCTCATCTAGACAACTACAGAGAGCAGACGGACACCTATCTAACTGGCTGTCACATGCTCCTCAAGCTCCAACAGCCTCCTGAAGTAATCTCAGCCCCTATTCCACTGCTCATCCTATGTCCTAACATCACACTTCAAAAGGCCAGCTGCAAAAGGGACAGAAGGGTGAGCTGGAGAGGATGGAAAGGTGACCTAGAAATGGAGAGAGAGTCCTAGCTAAAGATGCAGTCTCCTTCCCTGAGGCTGCAGGTGAGGACAAAGCCTGCTGCCAAACACCAGCACCAGATCTAACTGGCAGCCCCCACGTGCCTGTGGATAAAGGAGGTGAGAGGTGGCTTGAGCCTTCCTGGATAACCTTCTCCTTTCTCACTGCTTCAGCACAAGGATAGATGCACAGGTAGCTCATCACTGGCTCTGCCGTACACTCCCCCCCCCACCCCTTCCTGGCCTCCACTGACCTCACTTGACAGTAATCTGACAGATAAATGTTGTGTACCAGAACATAATGTTCTTCTGGCCCCTGTCCCTCCCTCCCAGACAATAGGATCCAACTGGATCTGCCTTCTTGTCCCCTTGGAAAGCCCCTCCGGCAAGGGAGGAAAGAGCAAAGTTTATCCCTTGGGTTGTCAGGACAAAGTCGGAAAATAAAATTGTGTACACTGGACAGACTCTTTGACGGCTATAAATTTGTATAGCTCCAGTGGGGTTTATGGGAGTATGCCAATCACTGTCAGCTTGAGATTTGCCCTGTCATTAATGGAGATGACCATTTACATACCTCAAATGGTGAAACAAAACTCAAACCCAAATGCAGGAGGAGATGCATCAAGATTGCATGAGCTTTTAGGGCACGAAGTGACAGTTAGTCAAGAGAGGAAAGCCGAAAGTGCCACCTTTTTTTTTTTTTTTTAAGTATATAAATATTAGCAAATCAAATGAGGAATACAAGAGAGAAGTCTCACTAATTATTGTTCATATAGCCATGGAGACTAATGTATGTGGATTTACATGTTCTGCATTTTGAAATTACTAGTCTTATTTCATTCAGAGTGAGCCTGTTTGGTTAACTTTTATAAAGGTAGTGAGAATTACCTTGTTGCCTGTTTTCCAATAGAATTCTTTAATGGCTCGCATCATGACTACTCCGACTGGAAAGGTTGCGTTTTCCACCTCCTTTCCTGTAGATGTCTTTATAAAATCAGAACCTGAAAGGAAGTAAGAAGCTTTATGGTAGTTTTAGAACAAAAGCCACTCTGCACATACATAGTTCACACCCTCCAAAGATGTTCTCATGCTTCACAGCAATTATGAAGCATTTCTTTACACGTACATCCCTGTGGTGTCAGTGCTAACCTTGCTCTGGTTGAGGCTATAGCAGGAGGATGAGATACCATTCTGGTTACAGAGCAAGTAAGACATCCCACCAGCCAAATGAACATCCCAGCTCTTAATTCGTTGCTCTAGCTGTCAGACCAACAATCTCCTCAGGACAGTCCAGTATAATATATGTTCCTGTACAGACACTCAATATATATATATGTACACTAATAGGAATGTGTCTGACGAACCACAACAATGGAAATTATTTCCTCTGAACAAATTTTGCACATAAAACATTTTAGTATTTCCACAAGGATCTTTCTGAACAGAAACAATTTTCATCATTTTTTAAAATTTAACTTTGCACCTATTTAGCCCCACATTTGACAGTCTAGTGTTGTATCTCACACAGCTGTTTAAAGTGAAAGGTAAGAAGTTCCATGCATATTTACGAAACAAGCTGTATAATACTGTAAACAGGTGAAAAACTCCCTTCTTAAGCATTTTGCAATTGTAACATTGCAAATTACTACACTTAAAGCCATGGTCTGATATAATGAAGTAACAAGGTCAAAACATCTGTGTCATTTAAAGAAGGAGAGTTAACCTTGGCTTATTTTTTTCTGGTTTCTCACCTGTGAACAATATTCTCTGCTGTCTGTCCTGAATACTTGCACAGTGTTCTTGTGCATTCTTGCTGTTCTGGGTTGGCTTAAAATGAATCTTGCAGCACAATATAACAAAAAGCTAAGATAGTAACCAAAAATTTACCATGCAGTGTACGATCCTACATTGACACAATACAATGACAAATCTTTTTAATTGCATTAGGGTGCACTTTATCCGTGGGAACCTACTTCTTAGAAAAGGTATATTGTGGGATCATTAATTATCAAAAGTAATCGGGAGAAGAAGAGGGATAATTCAAACATCATACAGTAGTGCATTATCCACTTAAATCAATTGGAACTGCATCTGCTTCCACTTCAAATTTGGCTTACAGTCCATTTTGTCTCTTATTTGAATGACGGTGCCTGTACAACATCCCCTAGAGTCAGCAAGGGAAGTTTCCCTACTGGCTCAAACTAAAGAGTTGCCTAGACTAATTTTGATGGTGTGCTGTGGCACACTCCAGAGACCCATCTTCCTGATGAAGGCTAGCACACAGCTAGGTCTTAGCCTGATGGGAAGTTCAGACAAAGACAGCCATCTCTCTACATTGTCTAATTTAAACATAACAACAGTATCACTAACATTGCGTCTTGTAAGACCATGGCTTTCCCTATAGGCTTCCCGTCTAGGAACTAACTCAGCCCATTGGCAATTAAATTGCATCCTCCTATGACAGTTCCCATTCTAAATGGAAACAACTATTCAGGAAAAAAGTTCTAACTCCAGGGAAGGTGCAAGAAGCAAAAGAAGCAATTAATAGTTGATTGAGCTTTGCAAAGAACAGAGCACACATGAAAGACAATTGAGTTATGTATTTCAGAGCTACTCCCTTCCAGAGAGACACTATGGACATCTGATAGTCACATTAAAACAAGTAACGGTGAAACTTCAGCATCGCCAAATTATATTTTCAATTACCCTTTCGAAATGTAGCACTTAAAGTCCTTCAGTGCAATACTTTTCATTTCTTCTAGTATAAGGTAAGTCAAAGCTTTTATAAGTCTTATAATTACAAGTCTCTATGGTATAGTTTCATTAAAAACTTTCATTAAACAACAGCTGCCCTTGTATATGGTCTTCTAATCAATTTGGTCAAACAGAATGACTTCTAATCAGCTGTTGATAAAAATAGAAGATGAAATTTTAATTCTAATAGATTAACCACAAACTCAAGATAGTCTTCAAAATCCATCTAGCTCTATTCTCCAGTGGATTTAACGACTATTCAGCAACTCATTACTAAATAGAACAAGATGAACATTTTCCAGTTCATTAAAGAAATGTACTATGTATTTTTGCATTGTCCTCATGATTCGTTACAGGGAGTCTTAATTACAAGATAATGGATAATGGTTATTAAATGCAGACTCCAGTAATGAAGCTCTATTCATTTGCGAGCCTCAGAGACTGCAAAGAGGGGAAAATAAAATTACTAGCTTCAAAAGATTAACGGATCAAATTATTATTCAATTTTGAAAATCTCATTCAGACTTCATAGAAACAAGAAGAGATTAAAAACTAGCATTAGTACAAAAGTGGTGCATTTATATATTTATTTTTAAATAATATCTTAAGGCTATTACCAGAATAATCAGCTTTAGATGTGATTATTAGACAAACATACAGCCAATTTAGTAGCATCCTCTAACAATGAAAACAATACATTTTTATTTCCTGAACAAATTCTATTTATGACACAAGAGCTTGCTAGTAGGACTGCATGCAGCCTCCTGCAGAAGAGACGAGATGCAAGCTAGCAGAGAGTGCCACAATGGAAGGTGCTATTAACATCTAGATTTCAGGAATTAAAAGGGGGATTGCAAAATCAACCACTGCCATAAAAAGCACATCATTAAGTAGACTTTATGCCAACCTTGTAATAATAAGGGAGCTTCACCAAGTCTAGTTCTTATTCAAGGTTTCAAAAACAAGTCTAAGGAATGAAGTTCAACAGGAGTTTAATCTGGAAATTTAGGTGATGATTTAGAAACTGAGCTTTACCACCTATCTTATGAATGCATACACTCAAAAAATCAAGGCTAATTTTAAAATACATCCTGTATGGCCTTCTCCTTCCTTGGAGTAGGCTACATGATTCAATGAAACATTAAATCAAAGACTTAAAAAAATTAGTTCTTCAGGGTAGATTTCTAGGCCCAGTGAGCCCAGAAAAGGCCACACTTTCTACTCTTTTCTAATGCGCAACCACAACAGTACACTGACTTTCAAGGCAGCAAGTCATGTAAGACTCATTGAATCAGTAAAGAGTGGAGACATCAAAGCCTTTTTGAAACACAGCAGCATTACACGCCTGTTTCAGGTGGGCTTGCTGCCAACCTAGTAACCCAACTGTGTCCGATACATTACAGCACCACAGCCTGGCAAGTACCAACTGCATTGGCTTACTTTAACCAGAGATGGAAATCTGAATAAAACTTAAGAAACACGAACAGTGCCACAGCCTCTGTTTGAGAGGCTCGCTCTGGTCCAGAGCAGCCGAGCTCTCAGCATCGCTGGGAGCCAGACCACTTGGACTGCAGTCACATTGCTTGCAAAATTTTTTTAGATATTTTTTAGTATTTTAAGATATTAGATCCGCTCTCCCACTGCGCTCTCCCCCGCCACGTACACACAACCCTCAGCCACTGCACTCCACCAAAGACAGCTCAGAATAAGCCAGTTGAATGTGCACACACTAGAAAGAAAAGCAGTGTCTTCATAGCATGTTGCCTGAGTCCATACCTAGAGGTCAAGATGAAGTTCATTATATTATTTCTATTCTAGATACTCACAGAGCCTTATTTACTGTGGCACCTCAGCAGAGGTGTAGACCTGAGGTATACAGAAGCTGAGTGACTTGGCCAAGGGCTCTCAGCAAGCATTTGGCAGGGCAGGGATTGAATGCCCTGGTCTCCCAAAGGCCAGAATTGCTGCCCCAACTGGCCCACCCTACTGCTATCCCCTACATCATCTTGAAATGCTACAAAGCTTCCCGGTCCACGTAACACTGAAGCAGAGCTTAAGAACTGGAGAATGTTATTTAGATGACAGCATCCAAAAAACACACTCTGGTTCCATAATTAAGCAATAAGGAATAATAAGCAGTATAGAAATCGTGGAGTAATCACAACCTTTTGGTTGTGAAGTGCTTCAAATGCCCTTGGGGAACCATTATCTCCTGATAACTACAGACTCTGTGTTGTTCCCTTACTCTTAATAAAGAACAAAGATGCGTCTGGCAGTTTTAAACAATAGCTTAGAGAGAGATGCTTGCAGAGGGACAATTATGCCATGCTACTTTGTAAGTACTTGCAACGAGCAAAAATATATTTTGGTTGCTGCAACTCATGTATAACAATATGTGGCGACATAGGGTGAACACATAACACTTGCAAGACTTCTAGGACTGGTGGCAAAAAGAGGCATGCTGCTGAGGAGACCTGCATAAGCCCCTGTTGTTTGCGCTGAAAAGGTAGTAATGATAAAACAGTACCTTATCAAATGTGCATAAAGTTCCGCAAGCAAGACATCTTTCTATTTTATGAGCACCTAAAGTAAGGGTCTTAAGATTCACCCACAATTAGCCTAACTAGGGGCCACCAGGTTATCAACCCTCTGAAAATAAGAAGCAGGCTAAGATATAAAAGGCTAATATAGTAGACAATTCTTGTCTGTTGAGTTATTGTAATTGTCCACTTAAATGTCTTTATCCTATTCCAGTTGCAAGACAAAATATATTTCCTGCTAGCCTAACTTTGCCAGTGAAGAGAAGAGAATATGCAGCTGTGACAACTCACTTCAGCAGTAGCTCACTGAGTAGCTTTAACTCCATCCCACATGGTTACACTGCCAAACCAGCCAGTTTGGTGCTTATGCATGTTTTCACACACCCCTATCTAAGCTACTATTCTGAAAAACGCTGGCTTATAACTTTGTCTTTTGTGAACTGCCTACTTTTTGCAATTCTTTTTGGAAAAGTGCCTGCATGGAGGAGAAAAAAATTACATCATAGGGCTCCATGTTCAATGTCTGTTTACAAATAAGACAACCTTTCTAATGGCCCATCCTATCATCTCAGCTTGGTTTTCAAGACTCAAAAGGGATGCTTCCTCTCTCGTATTCCATCTCCGGTAATAGGCGTTCTGCAGGCCAAACGATGCCCTAAGGAACACTTACGCATGCACACAAAGGGACAAATTATTAAGTCCATACT